CCGGGCAAATATTTGCAGCTGTGGGGATTCGAAACCAGAGTATTGAGATCGAAGCTCTCTCAGCTGAACATCGTCCCACCACTAGCCCACTTGCACGGGTTAAATGTGTTTTTTATATTATTGTTTTATTTACTTTTGTGGCATAATAAATTGTATGATTAAGTATAAGGTTTGATATTTTTAATGTGTATGTATTATTTATCTATACAAATTTTAATGATTATAACTAATTCATATTAAATTTGAAGACCAAAATGCAGATCACATATCAAATTCAAAGATAAATTTGTTTTTTTTTCTTGGAGCAACTCATCCTCAAACCTTCATTGTAAAGATCTTTCATTCTCAAAATGAGTTTTTTTTTTGTCAACTTCTCAAAATGAGTTTCATTCTTGGATTTGGTTCATATAAATATTCTCTAACTAAATAGGATACTAAACATATAGTATGATTCATTCCCAAATGTCGTCCAATTATCAAGTTTTTAGGTCTTTTAAAAATGTTTTTCCACAAGCCAGCAGCCTTAATTATTTGTTATCATTACTTTCAACAATTAATTCTTACAAACATATGCCATTTGAAATGTCATCGCCATTTTTTCTAAAGGAAATAAAGTATCACTTTCACGATCCAAACTTCTGTCAGTACATAAGTGTGCTTGCGATACTATAGCTATAATGCCTGTGCTTTTTCTTCAGAAATTTTATCGTCGGATAAAACTCGATCTATAGCCTATCTTCTGTAAATCTAGCATATAATAATCCTCCAAATTTCTCAAGTATTTATGCCAGAAAATCTGATAGAAAACTGCTTAACTTTTTTGTGTGGTAAAATGCTTACTTAACCTTGTCCGTGTAACATACTAACATGTGGAATAAAGCTTTCATTTCATATTCCTGGAAATATTGTTTTACCAGGACGAGTTTGAACCATGTCTTATCCTCTCTAGGTCTGAAACCAATGATTTCTAATATTTGATGACATAGTATAAAGCATCCCTCAAAAATAAAATCGAACTACAGTATAACCTCTTTAAATTAATAATCTATAAATTAATATCTCTATAAATTAATATATTTTCATAGTCCTAAATTGATTTTTTGTTTCAATTAATATCTCGATAAATTAATAATCTCTATAAATTAATAAAAAAATTAATTTTGGTGTAGTCCCAACATTATTAATTTATAGAGGTTTCACTGTAGGAATATAAGGTAACCAATTTTTTTTTGTGCTAAGCCACTGTCCGACGCATATTTGATGATTAAATTTACTCTCTATAAAATACCATTTTTCTATTACTGCTCTATATTATATACTCTTTGGTAAAAATTCCTGCTATTTTAGTCCAAATAGTTTGGTGCTAAAATGACTGTAGGATTTATTTATTGCCAAATTTAACACGATTACTAATACCCCTGCTCAGCTGGCAGCTTTTACCATCGAGATTAAGCCGTTCACAACTTTACTCTATTTGAATCAAACAACAAGAATAAAATTTAATTACTTGGCCGTGGACACTAAATATTCTCACAAAGGAGGCGTTGTTTGTTTTCCTATCTTAAGAAATTTAACAAAATGTTATTATGTCTATATAACCCATGATTTCCGAAAAAGAAAAAATACATGTTTACGAGGTAATTGTCAAAGTAAGAAAATGAAATGAAAGAAGTAAACAAGATTTGATCCAAAAAAGGAAGGAAACAAGATTAGAGCAATCTCAATAATAGTTTCTTTTCATAAAATTCTAAAACTATATATTGATGTATGTATATAAGAGTAATTTATACTCATTTTGAAAAATTCGAAATACAACATATACAAAAAAATCTATATCTTTACTATATGATTATTGTAATTGTGTAATTTAATCTAATAATAAAGAAATAAAAAAATATTGTTATCAAATATTTATTGTTTAAAATTATTAATTGTCATATATATATTTTAGTCACATTAGGTAATTCTGTAGATTTTATTTAAGGAAAGCATGCGAAACAATAAATATTTGATATATGCGACCAACTATAGCCTACGAAATATTATATTAATAAAAAATATAATTTTTAGACTATAATTTATATAAGGTGCTCTAGAATAAATTTTTTTTTTTTTTAACTTAGAAGACATAGGAATCTGCCACCTACGATACAATTATTTTTTAACTAATATACATGTTCGGAAACGCGCTAGTCGGGTGGTACGGTTGCGCCTAACGCCTAGAAAGAAAATCGGAGATTAAGCGATGATTATATGGGGCAGAATTTTTAAATTATTTGATATATTATGAAATATGTTAATCTTTAATTGTGTATAATATTAATACATTTTCATGTTTAGGAGCTTATAAAAACATACAAATAGAATATATAAAATTAATAGGATATAATTTTCATCAAAATTATATTTAGTAAATTTTAGATCAAATAAAAATATAAAATATTAGTAAAAAACAAAAAAATAAAAAAAATAGATTGTGCGTCCGCCTAGGCATTAATCATTGAGGAAGAGGGTTGTCTAACGCCTAAGAGGCTAGGCGGCTGATTTTTAGAACATAGACTTAATGTTACATCTTTTTAAATGTTTCTCAAATAATATATAGAGAATATTAATTTTTTTTTTTAGAAATATAACCAGTAATATCTCATTTAACATATTATTAGTTTGGTTTCCAAGATTTTAGTATATTTATATATATACACACTAATATCCCCAATATATTATTTGGGAACCATTTAAAAAATTGTAACCTTAAGTTTGTATTAATTAAAAATAACCCTAATCCTATGTGGCATATCTCTTTGCCTTCAAAATTATACTCCCTCCGTTCCACAATATAAGATGTTGTATCCAAAGCACAAGAATTAAGAAACTTAACTTTTTAAAGATAACATCATTGATAGTATAAATTTAAAACAAATTACCAATCATAAATAATAAACTAAAATACTATTGGTTAACCGGTTTTCTATAAAGTTAAAGTACCTTAATAATATCAAAACATCTTATATTTTGAAACATCAATTTTCTCTAGAACATCTTATATTATGAAACGGAGGGAGTATTTAACACAATTCTAAAGCACCTTACATATACCATAGTTTAAACACATATTTACTAGAAAGATGTTGGTCACATATCTTATTAATATTAAAAATTATTATTCATTATTTCTTTAAATAAAAACTAGGAATGTGATTAAAAGATATATGACAATTAATAATTTCAGTAGTGAAGATTTGCTAACAATTTTTATACCCTCTACCACTTTTGTTTAAATATTTGTTATTAAAATAATTTACACTATTACATTAATTACTAAATTGTTAAATATCTCAAATAAACTTTTTGTGATCAATGGTTTAATTTTTTATTATAATAAGATACAAATAATTATAAAATACATGAGTAAGACGTCTTATTTAATCATTTATATTAATATATCTATATATAATTAAATTACATACCATATAAAATACATACTTATATTTTGATATTTTCATTGAAAAATATTGAGAATTTAATATTTTAATTTTAAAATTTGCATTCAATTCTTAATAGTTCAAAATTTTGTTATAAAAATATATTGATAATCACAAAACCTTATAATGAGAAAATTCATTTACTAAACATTCATATTTAAAATATATTATAGATATTGTTATCTCATTTAAATTTAATTGTATATGATATACGATAGATAAAATTGATTGCCTTGATTTATTTACCATTAATGATTGTTAATAAATAAGAATAATGCTTTGATTTAAATGCACACACCAAATTCCCTATATATTAATTGAAGATCATTTTAAAAGTTATAACCTTAAGTTTGTATTAATTAAAAAAATCATATCTTATGTGACAGTTTTCTATGAAATTCTACTTAGAAGAATTCTAAAGCACCTCATATAAAACATAGTTTTAAAAAAAACTCTTTTGGTCTCATATCAGACATATCAAACTAAATAACATATCAAACTAAATCTCATATATATTCCTTCCTTAAATAAAATCTACGCAATTACCTAATATGATTATATATATATATGACTATTAATGATTTTAAATAATATAGATTTGTTAACAATATGTATATTTTATATCATTTTTGTTTAGTTTTTTATTATTAAAATAAGTTACACAACTACACAAATCATATAAGAAAAATTTAGATTTCTTTTATATATGTTGTATTTTGAAATTTTCAAAACGAGTATAAATTATTAAAACTGTTAAAACTCTCACATAAACTTTTGTGATCAAGGTCTAAATTTTTTTTTCTATAATAAGTTACAAGAATTATAAAATCATATAAATACATAATTTATTTTAATAGGTGTTATGTTTTAATATATATATATATATATATATCATATCGTAATAAATAATTTTGTTTTAAACATAATTATAATTTAAAATTTTAACTTAGTTTTTTATAAAAATTATTTTTATTTAAAAATTAATTTTAAAAAATATTATTTTATCATATTATTAGACAAATAAATAAATTATATTAAGTTCTTTTTGAAAATTTATATATTTTAAATGCGAAAATTCTACCAACTATTTTTTAAGAAAGCATTAGGGAATTTGATAACGTTCTACCAATTAAACCATATGACACTCTATTTATTTTCCTTCTCTCGAACAATGAAAAATGAAATGATATATAAATCGGATCCATTAAATTATAACTTTTGATATACAGTTATAATTATAATTGTTTCTGATCCTACGTATAAATAATTATATAAAAATTCTAAAATTTTAAATACATATAAAAACAATCATATATAAATTTTAAATTTGTGAATACTTAAATTTTTATTTTAATTACATACACTCATCATTAGCAAGACATAAGTGTTATCCTAGTATAATTTTAGAATGCTATAGTAGACTCTACCATTGAAAGTGCTTTTAATGCAAAAGCAGAGTACATAAATGCAACGCAACGCATAAAGTATTTGAGAAAACAATGATAAAAATGTGGCTGCAAAGAACACAGACTCTTCCCTCCTCTTGTCATATCAATGTTCAACTTCAAGTTTCCCACTTGACCCATTGGTCAATCTCTCTTTCTCTCTCTTCACATATGAAGTTACTCTTTTATACGCTGTGTAACACTCAGTCTCTCTCTTATGTTGTACTCATCTGCTCAGTCTCTATCTCTTTAAATGACCTCCTATAATGATCTTGAGTCTTGAAGCTACTCACTCCTGATTCTTGACATGTGCATTTTTGTGTATTGTCTCTCCACCATCTCCCAAAGTAGAAAAATCTATAAAATAATACATAGAACAAAAAAAAGAATCCCACTTTTTAGATCTCTTTCCAATTATATATCCTCTTCTCTTCTATAACCAGAAACAATCTTTCACTTCTCTTAATATAGCAAAAAAAAATAAAAAAATCACTTTTCTCTCTCTTTATTTCAGATTATTCTCTATTTGCCTCACCATTTTTGCCTACATGTGTTTGTTGGAGTGGATATAAATCTATCCCTTTTCTTGTATCAATTTCACTATGACAATCAGCTAAGTCCTTCTTTGTCCCTTTCTCTCTGTTTGTTTTGTTTAATAATGATCTAAACAACCCTAATCTCTTTGATCCATATAAGATAATCAAAACCCTAGATCAGATTCTTCTACTTCCCAAACTCACAAACAAGATAAGCTATGGAGTTGATCTCACACCAAAACCCTAATACCTCCACAGTACAATTAACACCACCTTCCTCAAGCCGGTACGAGAACCAGAAACGCCGTGACTGGAACACCTTCTGCCAATACCTCCGCAACCACCGTCCTCCCCTCTCTCTCCCCTCGTGCAGCGGCGCACACGTGCTCGAGTTCCTCCGCTACCTTGACCAGTTCGGGAAAACAAAGATTCACCACCAAAACTGCCCCTTCTTCGGCCTCCCAAACCCTCCAGCGCCTTGCCCTTGCCCTCTCAGACAAGCCTGGGGCTCACTTGACGCCCTCATAGGCCGCCTTCGTGCGGCCTACGAGGAGAACGGTGGCCCTCCCGAGGCTAACCCCTTTGGCTCACGCGCCGTCAGGTTGTACCTCCGTGAAGTCAGAGACTTCCAGTCCAAAGCTCGTGGTGTTAGCTATGATAAGAAGAGGAAGAGAGTCAACAGGCAGAAAACGCTAATGCAAACGCAAACGCAGCCGCCTCTACAACAGCAGACACAACATGGTCAGTCTATGATGGCTAATTACTCGGGTGCAACAGTATGATCATATTATTATATATATTAATATATATAAATTCATAAGTTTAATATGTATTGTTTCTTATTTACCTATCTATGTATTACTTATTATCCTAAGATGCTGTTGTTGCTAATATGATGGCTAATATGTACTTTTTTTTATGAATAAGAAATTATGATTATATTCGCTAAAGTGTTTGATGAGTTTTATTTTGATTTTTATTTAAATTCCCAACTCTCAGCTTGAGGACTATTCGATGTTGATTTCTGATACAGTTAGGGTTCATGTGTATTATACTATTATACTGTTATGTTGTATGATGATCTCTTGAGGCACCTTTCTTTATGTATAACTCTGGACTTTAAGATGATGATATTAATAATTTCTTTCCATGCGATGATGAGATGCTCCCGTGATTTCAATGATTTAGATGTGAATCTGTATATGAAAGAATAGATGTATGCAGATGCTATATATAAATTAATATGAATGTGTGTATGTATATGATTACTTTATGGTTAGTGTCACACTAAAACTTGTGAAATAACGACGTTGTGAATGTATGCTTCTTAATCATTCCAGAGTTGATAGCTGCTGTAGTTCCAGATTTAATGAGCAAAGAAAGCTATTGACATGCTTACTCAATTGTTTTCGTTATCATGAGTATGGATTCATGACTGTTTTGACTTTCAAAGCACTTAGCATAGAGGCACCTCATGAATCTTTGGTTCTATATTTTGCAATGGATTATTCTTCATTCATGTATAAAAACTTTCTTACAACTATCTCTTTAAAGGTAGACCATTAATAGGAGAATACGATGTGTAAAATTTGGCCTAATTGACTATGTTCAACCGCAGAAAGACTCGTCTAAACTCAGAGAATCACAATCCACCACCCAGACTGTATACAAACTTAGTTTTCACTTAATCCATCGCGAAAAATGTTATGGTATCTCAATATTACTACACTTGTCAATAGGCATGAGTGACTCATGACCCAATGATATTAATTTACAGATAAAAGCTAAAAAGAATATTGACCTGTATATATATTTTAAGCAATAAAATAATGAAAAATATAATCAAAACATGCACAGTATAGTTTTCGAATTTCTCACATGTTTCTCAAATGGGTAAGTAAAATAACTATATTACAAACAATTTACGTTTGAAAGTGACTGTTTAAAATATGCTTTCTCAAAAAAAAAAAATGCTTTACTGAAACTGAAATTCTCATTTTGTTTATGTACTTCTTTTAAAATATTAAGTTTAGTATGACTTGAGTAACCAGTTATATTTTTGAAACTGTGATGAAAATTTAAGGTTCTGATTAGCAATTAAAAAATATTCGACAATGTGGTATACTTTAACTTTCAAGTATTATACACACAAGTTAAGAGGTTTCCAGGTAGAAAACATAATACTAAACGTTTGCCAAATGTAGATATATATTAACAAATATCAAATCCTTAATAAACTAATGTGTATATCAAATTAACCCTTTCTCTGACCCCCCTCCCCCCCCCCAAAACAAAAACAAATTAATACCCTAAATCTGAAATGGATGAATATCTATATGTAAACAAACAAACAAACAAACAAAGAAGAAAACAGATGCGAGATTGGATTTCTTCACGTGACATATATGAAAACAATTCAACTTGCTATACAGATAATTATTAGCAATAAAGAAAAAAAATTACTAGTAACTAAGTATGCTTAGGATTCACATATCAGAGAAGATCAATCCTCTTTCGATAGACACAAATAGAAATTCCCAAACAGCCGACAGGTTGGTACGATGTTATCACACTTCAACAAAAGTGAACGGTTTCGATTTTAAAAGATTATCAAAGAAGTGCCCCGATGCTTACCGGCTTTACTCCAAATAGTGGTCCCGGTTAGAAAGCCAATCGCACGTGGAACCGAGTAAACTCTGTCCGGCTCGGTGTACAATAAGATCGATTGGATCCAATTTTATTTTTAGTGTTTATTCTGGTAGTTTCACTCAGGTTTTATGTGTCCCATTACAAAGAAAAAAGATAAGTAATAAACTGTTGCTCGAAGCAAAATAAAAGAGTGCATTGTATATCAATGCAGGACCATAATTTTAACAGATGAGTTTATATAGAACTCACTTTTATCGGTGTTAGAACAAAAAAAACAATCCAAGTCCCACATCGGATATTAGACAGATAAGTCTAATATATATATAACTAGTCCAATCTCACTTAAATAATATATATATAACTAGTCTAATAATAATAGTGTTTATTCTTTTAGTTCCACTCAGGTTTTATGTGTCCCATTACAAAGAAAAGATAAGTAATAAACTGCTGCTTGAAGCAAAACGAAGAGTGCTTTATACGATCATAATTTTAACAGATGAGTTTACATATATAGAACTCACTCTCGTCTGCACAATAACACCTATTGCCCGCGAAGGGACATTAATGTGCAACGTTTGAAGGGTTCCAAGCTCCAGCAAGGCACAAAGGAGAGACAGAAGAAGATAGCAAAGAAGATTAGCCGGTTTAAAGCCGTTTTTATGCAAATTCCTTGGTGTTATTCAGAAGAGCTAATATTTTTGAGCCACTTCGAAACTTAAAATAAATGTTGTGAATAATTTTATGGCCCATCAGTCGATCACCCTTTTAATCCAATACAGAATTGAAAATCGAGACAAATATTTTGGGATGGTACATAGCTTAGTAGCAGGCGCACTCTGTCTTCAATTTGATAAGACTGATAAAAATGCTGCTAAATGATATGAACTGAAATATTTTTATAAAACTATAAAGAATAATTTATAAACATGGAATTCTAAACAATAAAAACGATACTAAAATATTAATAAAAACTGGAATATTTTATAAAGTTATTGAACTGAAAGTTCATGTTTCTAAAGCTTCCTATGAGAAACTGAGTACCTGACTATATATCCAATGAAAACAAATTCTTAACGTCAAGATTTATTTCTCAATTATATTTTTTTTTGTACATTTGGTTATATTAAAAAGGATCTTTCTGCAAAAAGAAATAAAACTTATATTCTAGAAACACAAGATTTAATAAATTCCTTGATAATTAATTTTTAACAATAGCAATATTTTTTTGGGGGGTCAAAACAGTAGCAATATAAATGAATGCATGATCATAGCAATGAAACCAATATTTACCGAATCTAAATAATTCACGTAAAACCTGGAAACAATATAACTTTTCAAAAATACCAATAATCCTTACACACAAATATCTATTGAATTAGCCACAGTTACACGAAATAGATTAAGGAAAAAAAAAACGCAACCTCTCATTAAGGCTCTCTAACCAATAAATTAAACAAAGACGAAAAAGTGATCAACCACTTAACTAAAATCTTTACTATCCTTATTGTTCACAGTGACAAACCTGGACGCAAAAAACCTAAAATAGAGCAGATTCAAGACTTGAACGCCACCTATTATGAAAAAATAGTTCTCGAGCCTGTTCTTGTTCAAGTCTTTGTCTCCCAACCACGAACGCCCTGCCTTGCGTGTCACACTATCAATCACATTAATAAGAAGTGCGCATATATAACTCGCAATCGACGAGCTCAAAAAGAAGATGGCTCCAGCCACCGTTCTCATATGCTCAGGCATCTTAACGGTCAGAAACTCCATCAAAGCCACGGCCGAAAACGCTTCGCTTAGACCAGCAAGCATGAACTGAGGAAGCAACATTAAGATAGAAACAGGAGACACAAAGGAGCCCTTCTTTAGAGCCGCTTCTCTTCGATTCTTCTCCAAGAAACCCGCCACGATCATACAAGCGATCCCCATCACGATACCTATTTGGATCCTTTGTTTCATATTTAGCCTTTGTTTGCGTCCTGTGATTAGTCTCGCTATTGGGAGTATGACACACTCGTATAGCGAGATCCAGATGGCGAGAGTGATCATGGAGACAAGATTCATCCATCCCGCTGGGACTTGGAAGTTATGTCCGAAAGTTTTCTCCATCTGAATGGCTTGAAGTATTCCGTATATGTTTTGTTGGTCGGTAAGCATGAAACTCGCGATTCCCGTGACCCAAACTGGTAAAATGGCGGTCACGCACTTGAGGTTCTTTACTTGCTCCACACTGCATAATCTCCAGTTGTTTTTGGCCTTGCCTTCTTCGTTTAACTCGTTTGGATCAGTTATCACGGCTGCTTTCTCAACAAACCTTAACCTGTCACATAGTATAGCATCAAAAGAAGAAAGTGTTAGAGACTTTACAGATTACAATTATAACATGTCAATGCCATTATTTATACTGCATTAAAAAAAGTGAAAGAATATTCATATTTTTTTGGAAAAGAGTACTGGTTCAATTTCTTGTAACCATATGCAGCCTTTTGTAAATTATAATCACAAACATAAAAAAGAATTAAAGAAATTTCCTATTTCTGTTTGCGTCTAGCATTTTAAAGTACATATACAATCTTAAAATAGTAAATTCGTTTGTTCATTTGAAAATACATACTATAACATGAAAAAATTACATTTATAAAGTTATCATTTGAAAATACATACTGTAAAATGAAAAAAATACATACCATAACATGAATATTAAAATTATAAATTCGTTTGCTCATTTGAAAATACATACTGTGGCATGAAAAAGTTACATTTACTAAAGATACTAAAATTGTGGATTGATTTATAAGAAAAGACCATATTAACAAATGGTTAACAAATGGTTAACAAATTATATGTTTATTACTAATACATATTAATTTTTAATTGGTATTAAATATTAGTAGTTGTTAGATTGGTTCGACAAGATAAAGCATCATTTTGTAACATGTAAATGCAAAAAAAAAAAAAAGTCTAATGTAACAAACTAACCTTGGTTTGTTTTGGACCAAAGTGGTTGAGGATCCATCACTAGAAGGGCCTAAGTAGAATGTTACACCTTCTTCAGATTTCACCTTTTGTTTCCTACAAGCCGCGGCAACAACCTTAACAATGTCTGCGAACACACTTCCCTTAGGCTCTGCACAGATATAAGTGTGGTGGCCAACGAGGAAGGCGGTGATAGAGAGTGCAAGACAAGCCGTGGGGATCACGAAACCAATGACCCAGCTGATGTTAGTCTGTATATAGACGACAGCTGTCAGTGCAATGACAAGGGCCACGGTGAAGGAGAAGTACCACCAGTTAAAGAATGTTTCAAGCTGAGATTTTCCCTTTTTGGTGCTTGTATCGAATTGATCTGCTCCAAATGCGATGTTGCATGGTCTGATTCCTCCTGCTCCAATGGCTATTAAACCTAGGCCAGCAAAGAGAACCGCAAGCTGCCAACGCTCGGGCGGGTTTGAACAGTTTACTGGATCGTTGCAAGCCTCGGGTCTTAAACGCGGGATAGCCGCGGTTAGAGCTATTATT